GCGGCTCCTGAGCCCGGGGCTCGACGCCGTGCGCCGGGACGTGACCGCCCTCGAGCGCGAGCACGTGCGCGCGCACCTGCGCGCCCGCCGAAGGCTGCTGGAGATCGAGAGCCTGCTGGACGAAATGACCAGCGAGGTGGAGGCCGAGCGCAGCCCGGGCGCCGAGGCGGAGGAGCGGGTGATGAAGCTGTGCGAGAAGGTGGGGAAAAAGGCCGCGGAGGCCGCGCGGATGGGGAGGCGCCTCGTGGAGCTCCACCAGCAAATCGCCAGCTACGAGTGTTGCTGAAGGACGCGGGAGCGGGTACGTCTCGGCCCGCGGGGGGCAGCGGGCTCGCCGCAGGGTGCTGCGTGACGCCCTGCCGCAGAACGCGTGGACACTGGGCGGTGGGAGGCGGCGGTGCGGGCGGGGAGGCTGACACCAATGAGCTTTTCGCTAAAACATCGTTTTTTGTTTTCTTTTTAACGTTAGTAATTAGAAGAAAGTAATTTGGCATGTAGCTGTGAGACATAAAGACACTTTGGGTAAAAATATTTGCAGAATGCGGCTCAGCTCAGTCACTGGAGTGAAACGCTAGGTCGTAGGGCGGCGAGACATAAAGACACTTTGGGATGAAATCGAGCGCTTCCGATGCACAGGCGGTTTGGGTATTGGCGTTGTGATGATGAATTTTCCCGCTTGTACTCCAGGTTATCCGCTGATGGAGTCCGTTCAGCCGGTAAGGAGGACTGACTGCTGGGAGAGGCTGAAACCGAGAGAGTCATTCTTTTTTCTGTCCCTTGTTTTTCTGTCTGCGTTTTCACCATGGTAAACGCTAAATCTCCAGTACCTTCCCGGTAGATGATTTCAGTATTATACTGCCGTATGTGGATTATGATTACCAGGTGCATTCAGTTTGGAAAAGACAGCTTATCATTAAATGCTCTCACGTAAAGAAATAGGCCCGAGATTGTAAGCTGCTGTATGGTCATATTTGTTACGGTGATTATTGTATTTTTTTAAGTTTGCAAGTATATTCTTGTGCTTTGCTTTTTTTTTTACGTTTCCTGGAATTTGGGGTTCCATGAGAGGGACTTGAGGTCAGAGGTCTGCAAGAGAGAAGACACTACTTGGCTGCAGCTGCTTAAGCAAGAACCCCAACCCCAGGCGAGGGTGTGGATGCTTCTACTTTGGATAAGCTTGAGAAGGCCCAGAGAGCGGTTGGGCATGTACGAATCTGGGGACTGTGCAGTTCCTCAGCTCAAGGAAGAGAGCTGAGTCTTGGGGGGAGGGGGAGGTTGGTTTTTCTCAGCGATGTAATTAACTGGTAACGTCAAGTAACCTGTCTGGTGAGTAATCTAGGCTAGGGGATGAGTTCTAGGTACTACGTGTATTTCCTGCCTTTGGGGTAAACGTTTTGATATAATACAATCATGCATTTTAGGGGCTTCTCTGCCACAAATGCCCATGACCTCTGGAGGGGTCAAGGAGGAAAGCGTGGCGCTGGCTACAGTGGGCCCCAGACTGATAGCAGGAGACGTCTTCCAGGCTCACGTGATGTCCAGCCTAGGTTCTCAGAGCAGACTTCACAGGGATTGAGATCAGACCTCTAGCTTGTTACGATAACTTCATTGCCTGGAAAAGCAAATGGTGAAAACCAGTTTTTAGAATCTTTGTACAAATGATCAAAGTCACTTGGCCAGGAAAAGGTGAGATAAATAAATTTCTTTCAAAGTGAAAGTCTCATTGATTGTGCGTTGTCGGTTGGAGGCGGATGCTTCCGGTTTAGGAGTGTGTTCTAAGGCCTGTGGCCCCAGGGGCTTTGAGCTGCAGGGACTGCACACGGGAAGCGGGAGAGGGCACAGCGGGAAAGGACCTCAGGAAGGAATCTGGTCTGGCCCCCACCTTCAGGAAGCTGAAGTTCAGTCACCTATTCACTGTGACCTTGGGCCGTTCCATGGTCCGAATTTCCAGGAGAGATGATGAATTAGGAGTTCGAGACAGACCTGTAAACACAATTAACAGTTTGGTGTCCTCGGTGCTGGTCTTTGACTCCACACACAAACCAGGAGCCCACAGATGCGGGGCTCCGTCAACGAGCAGACAGCGTGCTTGTGCACTTGGACCTGATATTCGTAAGGCACCTAGAGCAGTGACTGGCTATGTGAGACGGGAAACGCACATTGGAAGACAGAGCGTTGGGAGGTGTTGCCCTTTTACCTAGGTTGGTCAGGTGGCATCTCTGAGATAGTGACGTTTCAGCAAAGATGTGTGGTACGCACAGGAATGTCCAAGGAAAGTATTCCAGGCAGGCGGGACGAGCAGGGCCCAGAGACCAGGGGCAGCATGAGACCCCAGTGGTAAGGAGCAAATGGGAGATGGCAGGTCACAAGGAGCAATTGCGTCAGCTGCGAATGACACGGAGCGGGTTGAGGGCGTAAAGAGAGGAGGGATGCCATCTGACCACACGGGAGGAGGCCCACTGGCTGCCATGTTGAACCTTGACGGCGGGGGGAGGCGGGGGGCAGAGCAAGGATGAGAGCTGGGAGGCCAGGCCGCCTGTGGAGAGCAGGGTCACGGGGCAGCGTGATCACTGCGCCCTGAAGGTGTGTTGCTGATGGGATGTGCCGAGGGACTGGATGGGGACCTGTGAGGACTCAACCACAGTTCAGCATTCGTCAAACCAGGGCAGCTTTGAAAGTGGAAGGTGGCCCTAGTAATAATTAGCTGGGACCACAAGTATGAACCAAGACTGACACGGGCAAACAGGTGGACACCCTGTGTCGATAACATGATGGGAGCACCGGGGAGGGAGTTCACCCAGCATCGGGGAGTTTGAGAAAGCTTTTCTCAAACTGACCACTGACACTTGGTCTGGGCCCAAAAGCAGACGCACAGCTACACAACAGCACCCCAGGCACAAGGAACGGAGGTCCAGAACTGGTCCCAGGAGTCCATCAGCAGGTAGAAGCGTGGCATGTTGGAGAGGGTTTGTGAGTGTTGAGCGGGAACGGGGAGGCAGGGAGGGGTAGGAGGCGTGGCTGTGGAGATCTCGAACAGTGTAAACTTGATCCCGTGTGTCCTTTCTCCACCTGGGGTCTTTGTGCTCTGGAACCCAGGTGTGCTGTACAGTACCTGACGCCCAGAGACATATGGGTGCGTTCTGAAGAGTCAACTTCCTTGAACGTTTGACAGGAAAAAGATTTTTAATTTTTAAAGTGACACTCCTGGCTAAAGAAGCCTCACACTTGGGGCTGCTGCTAGCTCTGTCTGAGCCCCTGCGCGTCTGCACCCACCGGGTCTGACAGAAGGCAGGTTCCGATCCTGCGGTCAAGCACCTGTCTCTGCTCTGCCGTGGAAGTGCCACACCTGGAGTAGCAAGGCCCTCTGAGAGTGGTTTGCTGCCAACCTGTGAGAAACAGTAGTGGGGAGCCCTGGAGGGGCTGAGGGAAACGCAGGTGTGACGGGGCCGGGGCGCAGTGTGTGTGAAGTGAGCCACTGGTTTAATGTCAATGAAAGTCATCAGAGTGGGAATCATAGGGTCCGTTTTGGTTTTTTATACTTCCCTACATCGAGAAAACTAATGACTAAAATAATAAACGTTTTACAATATGAAAAAATTAAATGAGGATTAAAGGTAAACCGTTAACAGTGTTCAAAACGTCCAGCGCCTCTGCAGTCGTCCTGGGAGTCTGGAAAGGGCGGGGCGGACCGTGGTCCCAGCAGTTTCCACCTGCAGGCCACCAGGAGCAGGGCCGCAGCGTGTGCGGTCACAGGCCCTGGGCACTTAGGAGCTGTCACCTGTGCCCTGAGCACTTACTGTCACCGTTGTTCACAGTGCCTTGCGTGGCTGGTGCCACCTTACTTTGTGAGGGAGAACATAGGGTGCAGAGAGTGCCAGGACCTCCAGACGCCCCCTCCCCGCACGGCCCTGAACCCTCCTCAGGTGAGGGGACCCCAGGAGGACCCACCATGCCAGGAGAGAGCCAGGGCTACTGGCGAGTCTGAGATTAGGTGGGACGTGGCCTGGCCTCTGGCCCCCGCCCTTGGTCCCTCTTTCTCCAGCTAGCAGAGCTGCCCTGTGGGGAGTGGCTGCACCCCCAGACTCAGTTCCGAGAGGAGGGACGAGCCCCGTTTTGGCCCCAGGTCCAAGGTAGCTTCTCCTGTCCAGCTGTCAGGAACAGAATTTCAGCCCTTGGCTCTGGTGTCCTCCAGGGTGAGGCACGCACCCACTGGCTCCCCCCGCCACCCGTCTCCCTGCACCATGGGGGGTGGGCTGGGGCCAGACTGATTCTCCCCCAGATGGCCAGCACCCAGCAGCAGAATTCCCCGTCCAGTGTTTGCAAAACCGAACCTGGTGCTGACACCCCCTCCCCATGTTTCTGCTTAAAACAAAGGTCAGTGACAAAGAGACCCAACGAGAGGAGACATTTGAAGGACATTAACACATCAGTCTGGGGTTGGCCGGGCCCGAATTCGAACATGTGGAAAGGTAACCTGAGCCCCCCAAACCGTCATGGGTTTTCTGAATCCCTGTCACCGGGAAGTCCTGACTCAGAAGGAAACAGCGAAGTTTATTGGGACGCGATCCAGAGGAGGCTGGCAGCGAGGCCCCTGCGAGGGGCTGCAGAGCGTGGCATCCGGGCCCGCAAAGACGGCAGGAAGCCGCTCTCCAGCCTGCCGCTTCTCTGAAAGGGTGGGCTTGCTCTTCTGCACCAGTGCCCTTGGCCAGCATTTACTATTTCACTGCCATCACCAAAGCCACTCCACCCACGACTCAGCTCGCAGAGGCCAGAATCACAGATCCAGCTCCGGCAAAGTCCACATCCTCACCCAGCTCCTAACCACCTGCGGGGCCTCGCCCACTTCCCACTGCCAGCTGCATCCTGTAGCTTCTGCCACGCTCCCGCTCTCGCCTGCAAATGGGCCTCGCTCCCTCCCAGCTCGGCCTCTGCACCAGCTGGACCCTGTGGCGAGTGCCCGCTTTTCTGGACAAGTGGCTCTCACACCGAAGCATGCACCGGAATCACCTGGAAGGTTGTCCCGCTCCATCTCCCAGCCTCCCTTGCGGCTGGGGGCCCTGCCCCAGGGATTCTAGTTCGGAGCACTGATGCTGCTGGCCTGGGGACCACACACTTTGAGGACCACTCATCTAAACAAGCCCCTTTAATCAAGTCTCATCCTAAGCACCACCTACCTCCTCCAGAATGCTTCCTGTCCTTCCGGGCGGGGTTAGCCGCTCTTCGGGGCTCCCATGGCCTCTGGCATGACAGTGTCCTGTCACTGATGGACTCCCAGTGTCCAGACACAGTTGGAGCATCTGGCACAGAGAAGGCAGCCGGGAACCACGGAAGGGAGAGAGGGGAGAGGCGTGGGAATCCGTGCTGAGTGCTGTGGGGGTCCCGCACCCTCTGGGGCT